CCCCCCCCCCAAAAAAAGAAGAGACAGCCAGTGTCCCTGAAAACTCAAGTGCTCCCTGTAGGAAATCAGCCATCAAAGTGCAAAGCATTGCGGGGGGAGATCAACAGGGAGGTGGCGGCGTTTGCCTCCACGGCTTGTCGACAGTGCCTGGCTAAATACTGGGACGTTGTGACATTCAATGTCACCACGATGGGGCAGGTGCTGGGCCAAGGCTTCGAGGCTGGCCCTGGCCCTGGCAGGGGCTCTGCAGAGAAACCTGAACTTAAGCTGGAGTCCACCCCCCCTCCTGCTCTGAGAGCTGCATGGAGTGGGCAGGACCTGGGGGGGGGATCTGGGGGTCCGGGGAGAGGTCACAGGGCTGCCCAGGGTGGGTCGGGCTTCTCATTATGGCTGGCTGAGTAAAAGGGAGAGAAATTCATTCTTGTGTGGCTGGCCGGAGCGAGCATGGCACCGGGAAGAAGCGGGAAGGGTGGCCAGGATGCCACACCCGAGGCTGCCAAGCCGAAGTCCAGCACGCCCGCACGCCCGCACACACACGGCGGGGTCCCTGGGCTCAACTGGTGCAGGCTTCCGCCATGAGCTGAGCTCAAGGCTCCAGCAGAGGCCAGAGAAGAAGCCTGACCTGGAAAAGCCGCCGTCTCCACCTGCAAACCCCAGCTCCATCTCCCCCCATGGCCAGCCTCCCCACGCCCCCCAGAGCTGGGCTGAGGTACTGAGGCATGACGCCCACTGGGGGGGGCGGGGGTTGGAAGAATCCTGCTTGCAAAGATGCCTGTGCAAACGGAGGTCCTGCTCTGTTCCTGCAGCATCGGGAAGGGGGGGCTGCTTGGGGTCCCAGTGCAGGTAAGGGGGTCTGCCTATGCAGGGGGGAAGGCCTCTCTCTGGCTGGCCAAGCATTCTAGTAAAAAAAAAAATACCCAAAACACTGCCAGTCCCTCTGGGTCAAGCCGCGCCTGGCGCTGGGCGGCCTCCTCTGGCCGCAGGGGTGACGAGCTGTGGCGCCAGCCCGGAAGGAAGGAGAAGACCATGGGCAAAATCAGAGCCGAGCGGAGCAGCCTCTCCCCTCCCATGGGTGGGCTGCGGCGCTGGACACTTGGCAAAGCAGAAGCAAGAACCGTCCCGGCTCAGGCCTGGCCTCCACGGGAGGCCTTCCTTGGGTGAGGCCCGGGAAGCGTGGGTGGCCAGGAGAGGCGGGTGCGTGCCAGGGCACACCCCAGCAGCCAGGGCGCCCACAGGCAGGACCGACTATGACTATGAAAGACCAAATTGGGCAGGGGGGAGGGGCACGGGGTGATTCAAGCAGCCCCGCCCCCCACAGGCCACACCACCCCCCACAGAGGAAACTGAGCCCCAGGCTCCAGGCTAGACCGTGAACACGGCCGCAGGCTCATAGCTAGAAGCAGGAGAAGGGCCACAGGCAGCCGTTGGGTTCCTGGCTGCCTGCCCTTCCTACTCGAGGTTCTGGACCAACTTCAGACAAAGGCATCGCTCAGAGCGGGGGCTGCTGGAGGCCCTGTGCCCCCGTATCACAGGGTGGAAGAGCTGGTGGGCGATGCGGACCCCTCTGTCAGCAGGAGCGGGCAGGATCCTGCTTCTGTCCCCACCCCCACGGCAAAGGCCACCAAAATGCCCATTTGTCCTTGGAAAAAATAATGTTGCTCCCCTCACCCCCAGAGGAGGGCAGAGGGTGGAGGAGGAGGGCAGAGAGCTGGGGAGGAGGCAACAGGACATTAGCTATCTATAGACTCCACCTTTGTCTCCTCTAAGTAGGAACAGTATCTGGGGGGGGGGGAGTTTTTGGCTTTTTGGCCACTGCAGGCCACCGTCCTCCCAAGCGAGGTGGGCAGGTAAATCAGGATGCACACATGTAAACCGAGGCCCACGCGTCTTGGGAGCTTCAGACACAGGAAGCAGCAGCAACAGTTAACAACCAATAAATAAATGATATCAATTATATATGAATATAAAAAAAAACACCTCACTTTCCCCCAGGAAAAGCTCAATACTGTCATCACCGAAAATAATTCTCATCTTGAACCATCCTAGCCATGTCGGTGGGCTGGCTGCTGAAGGATGAGGCTGAGAGACAGTGATCATCAGGCTGCTTCAGCTCCAGCCATTGTTGCAGGAGCCCAGGCAGAGTCCTCTGAGTTCCCAAGGCCTTCTCCTCAGCGGTCAGAATCTTCTAGAGCAGAAGGTAGTTTTGTTTTGTTTTTCCTTTTAAAAGATCCTTTTGTAATTAAAAAAAAAAAAAAGGCGCACGCGTGGGACAGCAGGTGGGAGGCGCGGCCCTGTGCGCGGAGCGGCCACGGCCTTGGTTCTGCGGAGGGCTGGAGGCGTTTCTGCTTCGGTTGGTCCCCGTTAGGACAAGCAGAGGTCGTTAGCAATGGAAGCCGGAGGCTTCAGGCGGCGGTGGGTGGGTACGGAGAAGGAGGGCCGGGGCCTGGAGATTGGCGGGTGGCGGCGGTGGGCCGGTGGGTGTGGAGAAGGCTAGGTGGGCGTGGGGACGGTTGGCTGAGGTGGCCTTGTGGCGTGGGAGGAGACGGTTCCCAGACATCTGCAAGAGACAGCGTGAGGTGTCAGGAGCTGGCCAGAGGGGCAGGTGGCCTGCCGAGTCCTAACCGTGGCATGAGCCCCCAGTGCCTAGCTATGTCACGGTTCATCGTGTGTGTGCGCCAGGCCGAGGGCTGGAACTTGGGGTGTGGGTGCTGTTCCTGAGCCTTTTGGAGGTTCACTGGAGATAAGAGTCTCACAGACTCTCCTGCCCAGGCTGGCTTTGAACCACAACCCTCAGATCTCGGCCTCCTGAGTAGCTGGGATTACAGGCATGAGCCCCCGGGGCTTGGCGCCATAGTTCATCATCCAGACTGGATTGAGAACCACCTAGAGACTAGCCAGGTACCTCTGGTGGTGGGGCCTGGGCGGACATATCCACAGAGCATTGGTCCTCCAGGATGGTTTAATCCCTCCATGATGGCATTCCTGGGAGATGGTGACAGGCAGGAGGCGGGGCCTAGCAGGACGAAGTGGGTCCTGGGAGACGTGTCTTTGGGGGTCTCCCAGCCCTGGCTCTTCCTGGAGCCCCTCTTACTTCCGGCCCACCATGATGCGAGCTGCCCTGCTAGGCCCCGTGCTCCCCCCCGCCAGGAGCCTCCTCCGTGTTCTGGTCAGGCGCCTCTTACAGCAAAGGACAAAACGGACGGTCCATCTTATAATGGCTAGCGGGGGGATTTTGAGTGTTCCCACACAAAGGAATGGCCAACCTGCGAGGCAAAGGCCAGCTGCCCCCACCCGATCCCGGTCTTTCCCACACAACGGTGAAGCATCCACAGCTACACGCAGGAAGTGCCCATTAAACATTCAAAAGATGGTCTCCAGAGTCACTTAATACGGGCTCTGGGTTCCTGAATGGGGGATGAGCTATGAGGGTCATTTATCTACGGATGATGGGTGTGTCGGGAGCCGGAAGAGGCAAAATTAATCACCAGGATGATCTGGTACGACAAGGGCCGCGTGCTGCAGCGGAGGCTGTAGGAAAAGCCCTGGGCAGGGCTGGGGACCCGGGCAGGTCTCCACGAGGGCCCGGTCACTCTGGAAAGCTCTGTCACGGTGGTCACGTGACTCGGGACACTGGGCAGCCATGCGCGTTCCGTGCGGAACCCAGGGCTGGGCACAGAGCTTGGCCAAGACAGGAAGCAGGAACAGTTCAAAAGCGGAGTGGTTCGCTGCACTTGGGACTGTGGAGCCCATCTACCGTTCTTACATCAGGACAGTTATTCTTAGGGGTCATGGAGACTTCTGGGAGTTTGTATACGCCTGGTCCCTTCCACTGTAACCAGCAGTTGGCTGTGTTGTGCAGGTTGCTCTGCCCACATGAGTGGAGTCATCATTCACATCTTTTTTTTTTTTTTGTCGGTCTTGGGGCTTGAACTCTGGGCCTGGGCGCTGTCCCTCAGCTCTTCAGCTCAAGGCAAGTGCTCTACCACTTGAGCTACAGCGCCACTTCCGGTTTTCTGGTGGTTTATTGGAGATAGGAGTCTCACAGTCTTTCCTGCCCGGGCTGGCTTTGAACCGCGATCCTCAGATCTCAGCCTCCTGAGTAGCTAGGATTACAGGCGTGAGCTACCAGCGCCCGGCTCATCATTCACATCTTAAATGTGTATTTCAGTGAATGGAATCAGCGTTTCTGCGCCGTCTACCCCTTTTCTTTCTGTAGACCCCAATACTTCCTTCTTGCAGAAAACCTTTTCAACCAAGTGACTTACCACTACTTGAATAGGTCAGTAAAATTACAAAGGCCTTCTTAATCAGAATGATGATCAATGTTATATGTTTAATGTAATTACAGAAAATAAAAGCGGAATATCATTTAAAACGTGGAGTGGCTGTGTTGGAGGGGGGATGGGCGCGGCTGCCTGAGCACTGTGTGTGTACACATAAAAGTGGAGTCAAGCGTCTTCAATCCAGGGTGCTGCCTCGCAGACCCTTCCTCTTCAGCCCCCAAGCTGAGCAAACTCACCGCCTGAAGCCCAGGCACTAGCTGACCATCCTGGGATTCCCCCCCAGGCCCCCCCCCCCCCCCCGCACTCACCCGGCGCCAGGCCTGCACTATACCAGCCCGTCGTAGAGCGAGAGCGCCTGCACGATGGAGGGGTCCGCCTTGGAGCCTTCTTGGAACTCCTGCAGTGTCAGCTTCCCGTCTGCGTTCTGCAAGCAGGGAGGCGGCTGAGCGGTACCGGACAGCATTCTCCCAAGGCCGGAGGGAGGCAGGGGGGAGAGGAGGGAGGGGGGAGGAGGGAGGCAGGGGGGGGAGGAGGGAGGGGGGCAGGAGGGGAGGCGGGCGGTCATCCACCACTCATCTTGGGCCTATGACCCTGAGGTCCGCCTCTCCACGGTCTGGGGTGCCCTGGGGGAGAGGCCTCCCTGAAACCCCATCACCACTACTCCCCTGGTCAGTCCCAGGGTGCACACATTTCTCTGGGTACTCTGGGGGTTACCGCACCCCGGGGGTCCCCATGGATGGCAGGCCTGGCTGAGCCCATGTGAGTCAGCAAGGGGCGTGAAGTGGGTCCCCAGGGGGAGGGGACGGCTCAGGTCAGGGTCCCTCCACTTCCCTGAGCCCCAAGAGGCCAGGAAACAATGGGGCTCCTAGCTCAGGTGTCCGGTGGGTGCTGCGCCCGGCACCTGGGGGAGCCACCCCGGGTGAACCAGAGCCCAGGGTGGCCACATCCCCCTGAGGTGAGGAGCCTGGGCCCCGGCCTGGAGCGGCATGGCTGCGGGGTGGGAGGAACCCTAGCCTTGGCAGGACCGCGGACCGCGGACCGAGGGCCTCGTGGTGGACTGTGGGCCTCGCAGTGGACCGAGGGCCTCACGGCGGACCTCGGACCTGACCGAGGGCCTCGCAGCGGACCGAGAGCCTCGCGGCTTCCCCACCCTGCGTGTGTGCGCTGCACCCCAGCTGCCAGCTCCGCGCTAATCCTCCTTTTCTCATTAAGGAAGATGAGGGCTGGGGCTCCCCATATCCACCCGGAGCGCTTTGAAGCCCTGAGTCCTGGTGATGGGAACTCTCTAATCCGAGGCGGGAGAAGCCCGCTCTCCTCGCCACTGGGATTTCAAATTTCTGCTTAAAACAGTTGTTCTCGCCAGGCAGGGTCGTGCACGCCTGCCATCCCAGCCACCCCTGAGGCAGAGCTAGGAGGGGCTTGGGTTTGAGGCCAGACAGTCAGACTCTGTCATAAAAACAAAATACAAACCCCACTGCTGGGGTGGGGGTCGCTGACGGGGCAGAGTGTGCTCTGTAGGTGCATGGCGCTGGGTTCGAGCCCCAGGACCGGCAACACAGGGAGAAAGAGGTTCCAAATCATCAACCTCGCTTTCCCTGCAGGGGGTGGGGGGTGGAGGGGAGCAGTCTAGGATTTAAGCTGAAAGCCTCACACTTGCCAGGCAGGCGCCATATCACTTGAGCCATGCTTCCGGTCCCTTTTTGCGTTGGTTACTTTTGAAGTCGGGTCTGGCTTGATGCCCTGGCTGGCGTGGACTGTGATCCTCCTATTTGCGCTTCCCAGCCGGCGTAGCCAGAGTAACTGACAAGCTTCCAGCCACTGGCTCAGATGGAGTCTTGTGAATTTGTCTGCCTAGGCTGGCCCAGAACTGTGATTCCCCCTGATCTCTGCCTCCAAGTAGCTGGGACTACAGGCCTGAGCCACGGCTCCCCGCTTTCCTTCCTGGTCGTCTGCAATCAAAGCTACTACTGGGAGATGTGCACACAGTTCACCAGCACGTCAACAGGAGCAGAGGAAGGGGAAGCGCTGGGGTCAGTCAGCTGAGCCAGGCTGGGCAGACTCACTGGGAAGTCGCTCCTGACACCAGGCTGAATGGTGGCCTCCTTGATCGGTCCCCCAGGGGGCCAGCAGCAGCCCCCCCCCCGCCCCACATCCTCCCCTGGAACCAGCCTCCAGTCTCACCTTGTCCATCATGGCGAAGATCCGGTCCACCCTCTTCTCCGGCGTGTTCTCCTCCTCGGGCAGCTCCACCGTGTTTCCCTGACAGGGAAGGATGGGACTAGGCACCTGCTCCGGCCTGGGGGGGCGGGGATGACCCCCCACCATACCTGCCACTCTGCCAGGGGACATCCACTCACCACCCTCTCTACCCAGCCCCCTGGCGCCCTCCATCGCCTGGCCCACGCTGTCCCAGGGCGGGACGCACCCCACTGGACCGCAGCCCTCCCGCCACGCCGCCCGGACTCACCACCATCTGGTAAATGGCGTCCACGATGTCCAGCATCTCATTCCTGGTGATGTAGCCGTCGTTGTCCAAGTCATAGAGCTTGAAGGCCCCTGTGGTCAGTCAGCAGGAGAGTGACCCTGGCCCCGGTGCCCAAGCCTTGCCCCCCCCACTGCAACCAGAGGCGACAGGAAGTGGGAGTCTACCCATACACACCAGTGCAGCCCAGTAACAAGAGTCGAATAAAGACAAGGGCAGGGCTGGGAAGGTGGCTCAGTGCTAGAGCGCCTGCCTCGCATGCATGAGGCCCTGGGTTCGATTCCTCAGCACCACATAAGCAGAAAAAAAGCCGGAAGTGGCGCTGTGGCTCAAGTGGTAGAGCGCTCGCCTTGAGCTGAAGAGCTGAGGGACAGCGCCCAGGCCCAGAGTTCAGGCCCCACGACCGGACCCAAAAAAAAAGAAAGAAAATAGGTTTCAAACACACACCAAAACCAAAACAAGGGCTAGAGAAACAGCTGTGACGGTGTTTGCCTAGCATGCAAACCACTATGTGCTAGCCCGGCACCAGTGGCTCATGTCTATAAACCCTAGCTGCTTAGGAGGCTGAGACTGGAGGATTGCGGTTTAAGGTCAGCCTAGGCAAAAAGAAAAAAGTCTGAAATTCTTTATCTCCAGTTAAGCACCCAAAAGCCGGAAGCAGAGCTGGGGCTGGAGTTGGTGGAGCGCTGGCCTTGATTAAAAAGCCAAGCAAGAGCAGGAGGCTCTGAGCTCAAGCCCCAGTACTGGCACATTAAAAAAAGAGAAAGAAAACACAGAAGGATGTGATGCAGAGCAGATCCCGGGCTCCCCCGCGGTGCGGCCTCTGCGGCCTCTGCCCAGCTGTCCCGTCCTCCGCCCTGTCCGGGGAGCCCCACGCCTTGGGGCGCGGCAGCCATGCTGATGCGCTAGCAGGCCAGGCCAGGCGAGGGGGCGGGGGGGGGGACTTACACCGCAGCTTCTCGTCCAGGGTCCCCCGCGAGGTCACCGACAGCGCCTGGATGAACTCGGAGAACTCGATCCGGCCGTCCTGCGGAGACATGGGATGGGGAGGCGGCGCTGGGACCCCGTCCAGCTGGGCCTGGGAGGGGGCCGAGGCCCACAGCTGGCTCAGGCAGAGGCAGGAAAGGGGACCCGTGGTGGGAAGGGGAGGCTGGGGAGGGAGGGAGGCCTGGGCAGGAGGGACAGGAAGATGGGCGAGGCCGAGAGGCAGACACCACTGGAGGAGGGCCTCTGCAGAGAGATGTGCTCTAACCTATTTGTTTATGGAGGGGGAAGAAACTGAGGCCCAGAAAAAAAGAGAGCAAAAAGAGAGCCCAGGAGTGGAATTCCCAGGTTGAGGGTGCTTGGAAGAAAGCTAGGGATGAAGAGAACAGACACTGCTGGAGAGTCCCGGATCAGAGAGCAAGAGAGCCAGCAGCGAGTTCCCCAGAGAGGGGCACTCAGGCCCGGGCAACGCCATCCCCCAGGGAGCCCGGCCGTCCCCAGGGAGCCCAGCCGTCTCTGCCTCACACACAGGCTGCCAGGAGCACGCGGCGGGGCAGCCCTGAAACTGTGCTCCTCTGCCCGACGCCCCGTGCCTCACACCTATCAGGAGGCTGAGAGCTGAGGATCGCAGTTCAAAGCCAGCCCACCCAGGAAAGTCCGTGAGACTCTGATCTCCAGTGAGCCACCAGAAAAGCCAGAAGTGGAGCTTTGGCTCAAGTGGTAGAGGGCCAGCCTTGAGCTTCAAAGCTCAAGGACAGAACACAGGCCCTGAGTTCAAGCCCCAGGACTTTCAAAGGAAGGAAGGGAGGGAGGGAGGGAGGAGGAGAAGGAGGGTAACAGTGCCATTTGGGGGGACATGAGGGGGTACGCGCAGTGTGAATGGACCGCCTCACGTAGAAGTGTCTAGATGTGCCGTGTACAAGGATCCTGCAGTCACTTCCTGACTTACGTACTGAAAGAGAACCTGTGTGTGTGTGTGTGTGTGTGCGTGTGCAGTGTGCATGGTCCCATGCACACGCATGTGCTCTAATTCCCCGGTCTCTACGGGATGTCTGGGCATGCGTACGTGAGCACACACCTGTGTGCTGTTGTGCACGCGTGTTCCTTCACGAAAGGGGAGCGTGGCAGGCACGGGGGGGCGTGGCGGCTCTGTGGCTCCCCATGAGAGAGGGGTTCACTGCCCCGCCACCCCGCCACTCCCTCAGCTCACCTTGTTTTCATCAAATACGTTGAAAACAAACGTGGCGAACTTGGTAGGGTCCCCGAACGGGAAGAACTGCTTGTAGATCTTCTGGAAGCCCGCGGCGTCCAGCTGCCCGCTGGGGCAGTCCTTGATGAAGCCCTTGTACCTGTGGGGGGCAGAGGGGCCGTCACCCACTGTCACCCACCCACCCTCCTGCCCACGCCCAGGAGAGCCGTGCACCCCCAAGAAGAGTCCAGGGTGGAGACCAGGACAGCAGGCTCACGCCCGCTTTTGCCTGTCACTGCCTTTGGGGCCTTGGGCATCTGACTTGGTCTCTCAAAGCTCGGGCTGCCTAAGGAGATCACACTCAACACAGGAACTCACCAAGCCCAGCCCAGTGGCTCCGGACTATAATCCCAGCTATTCAAGTGGCTGAGAGCTGAGGATTGAGGTTCAAAGCCAGCTGGGTCAGGAAGGTCTGGGCGATGCTTATCTCCAATTAATCCAAAACAGCCAGAAGTGGAGCTGTGGCTCGAGTGGTAGAACACCAGCCTTGAGCAGAAAAGCTCAGAGAGATAGCATTGAGGTCCTGAGTTCAAGCACCGGGACAGAGCCCTTGGAGTCTGTCTTGAAGATGGGGGGGGCGGGTACCTTGAAGTTGTGCTCTTGAAAAAAAGCCACTGTGACTCCATGCCCAGGCCCTCTCGGAGCCCCCTCCTCCAGTGGCAGCTGGCTACTCTCCCCATCACCCCCCCCCACCCCCAGCAAGCTGGCTGAACAAACAGGGAACAGCAAGGTGAGTTCAGGACCCCAGGCCACACATGCCGTGTCCCAGTGCCCAAGACCCCCAGATGCCCGGGCTGCAGACTGCCCAGCAGAGCCCACCTGAGTGTACTGCTGCCTCTTACTAGCTGTGCAGCCTGGAGTGAGGCCTGGGCCTCTCTGAGCTTGTTTCTGCATCGACAAACAGCAACACTGTTCACCACCCATCTTGTTGGAATGGGATGACCTAGTAACCTTGGGGGGGGGGCAGGGGAGTTTATACCCAGCTGCTAGGCAGCGGGTACAGCTAACAGGCACAGCTCCTGACGGTGATCCAGGGCCCTGGCTTCCGCCTGGCACTGCCAATCAAACACCAGCATCACCTCTAGTAGGGCAAACCCGAGTGTGTACTGTTTTACACTCCTTAAGAATTGGCTGGGGGGCCGGGCGCTGGTGGCTCACGCCTGTAATCCTAGCTACTCAGGAGGCTGAGATCTGAGGATCACGGTTCAAAGCCAGCCCGGGCAGGAGAGACCGTGAGACTCCTATCTCCAATAAACCACCAGAAAACCGGAAGTGGCGCTGTAGCTCAAGTGGTAGAGCGCTCGCCTTGAGCTGAAGAGCTGAGGGACAGCGCCCAGGCCCAGAGTTCAAGCCCCACGACCGACAAAAAAAAAAAAAGAATTGGCTGGGGGGAAGGAGCTGAAGGAGCTGGAGATCTCCGTCCCCTCCCTCTTCCTTGGTGACCATACCTGCAGTGGTGTAAAGTCCCCGATCTGCTATGGGGAGCACCAGACAGGACGAGGACCATGCAGGTTTTATAAACCTAGCCGAGGCCTGCTGAGGCCAACAGTCCTGTGTCTCCCGGCCCCGCCTGGGACCCCAGCAGCAGGGATGCCCCCAAGCGCAGCCAGACTCCTGCACCCTGTCCCTGCCCAGCACTGGGCTCTCCTGCCTCTGCCAGCTCCTGGGGCTGCACACGGGAGGCAAAGCGGGCACTGCCGGAGCCCTGACACCCACCAGGCCTGTGGCTCCCAGCCCCTCCCACAGACCCAGCTCCCTCCCTCCTCCTGGCTCTGTCCTGGAGTGTGGGGACGAGGCCTGGCCCATGCCTCTGGAGCCCCAGACCAGGCCAGGTCCCTGGGCAGAGGAGAGGCACCTGGTGCTGTCACCAGAACCCCCGTGGGAGCCAGGGAGCAGTGTGTTCCTACCACTCCTCCAACCTCCAAGGACAGTGTGTGCCACCCAGGGACCCAAAAAGGTTGGGAAACAGTGAAGACAAAGCCAGCCATGCCTGGAATCTTGACTCAGGAGGAGGGGATGGGGACCAGTCACGGTGTGAGACCAACCCAGGCAAAGTGACAAGACCCCAGCTCAACAAACAGGCCAGGCCCGGCGGTATGAGTCTGTAATCCCAGCTACTACGGAGGCATAGGTAGGGTGATCGTGGTTTGAGATGACTCTGGGCAAAATGGTGAGACCCTGTCTGAAAAACTAATCAACGCATCCAAGGGTTGGCGGTGTGGCTCAAGGGGTGGAACACCTGCCCGGCAAGGACGAGGTCCTGAGTTCTCATCCAGTTACACTCCCCACGCCCAGAGAAAAAGGGCTGACTGCTCTTCAGGGGCTGGCACTGGCATAGCCGATCTCCAGCACAACAAACGAACAACAAACAAGAAACGCCAGGCTGGGAAGGTGGCTCAGTGGTGGAGCGCTTGCCTAGCACACGAGGCCCTGGGTTCGATTCCTCTGTAGGACATACACAGACAAAGCTGTAAGTGGTGCTGTGGCTCAAGTGGTAGAGCGCTAGCCTTGAGCAAAAGAAGCTCAGGGACAGGGCCCAGGCCGAGTTCAAGCCCCAGGACTGGCAAAAAAAAAAGAAAAGCCAATAAAGCCTAAAGGCAGAAGACGCCAGAGGCTCTCTGGGGCTCATCCCTGCGGATGGGGGAGGCCCGCTGGACAGCCGGGCCTGCACTGACCCTCCTCACGAGGCCCCGCCCCCACCAGCGGGGGAGCCCACCGGCCACGCCCCCACCAGCAGAGGAGCCCACAGGCCACGCCCCCACCAGCAGGGGAGCCCACAGGCCACGCCCCCACCAGCAGAGGAGCCCACCGGCCACGCCCCCAGCAGGGAGCCCGCCGGCCACGCCCCCACCAGCAGAGGAGCCTGCCGGCCACGCCCCCAACAGCAGAGGAGCCCACAGGCCACGCCCCCGCCAGCAGGGAGTCCACCGACCACGCCCACCGCAACCCCGCCCCAGGCCCCTCCCAGCAAGCAATGTCCTGGACAGCTCGTGCTCTCCTGGAGCTCTGCCCACGGTCTGGTCTCCGGTCGGTCCTCCTGCCTCCACGGGCGCCTGCTCGGCCAGCAGAGCTAGAAGCCCAGGCCGTGTCTCCGGTGTCTCCATCCACGACCCTCCCCCCAGGCTTTCCGGCTGCCAGCCCCCCTACGCCAGCCCCGGCCCCCAGCGAGCACCGCTCCCTCGCCAACACACACACTGCACCCAAGTCCTGTTCCGTCATCCTGATCCCCACGGAACGGGGGTCCCCCCCAGCCCCCTCCCCAGCTCTGTGATGATGGCCGAGGAAACCACTTCTGCAGACACAGGCCCAAGGTCACACAGCAAGTTGGCAGCAGAAACAGGCCTCAGGCCTCCAGGCCTGCCCAAGTCCCCGCCCCCCCCTCGGGGAAAGCAGGCTGCGCCACCCCCATTCAGCTGTACCCAAACATTATGTAACATGCCGCTGCTTGTCATCCTGAGTTGGAGGCGGGCACCTGCCTGGGCTGGAGCGGAGGGGGAGGGGAGAGCGTCCCAGCACCCACCCTAAAATTGCCTTTCTCTGAGGCCAGAGTTGCAAATTGAGGCCTAATCTGAGATGCAGCCTGGGACCCCTAGAAGGCCGAGGGCACGGCGGGCACCAGATCAGATCCCGCCCAGGAACTTGGCCCCAGGAAGGCAGAGAGATGGAGACCTGGTTTCCCTCCCCCACCCTCCTAGTCGGATTCACACAGGCCCAGCATGGCCTGCCTTTCCCGCCCCACCTGCTACCCTAGCCAGTGGGGGGTCCTGCTTGAACCCTCTTCCCCTCCATTCCCCTCAGAGGCTTCCCCTGGGAGCAGCAGCTGCCCTCAGGGAGCCCAGAGTACAGCTAGGGCAACTGAGGCTGGCCTGCATGTGGCTACCTCCTCTGCCTGGCCCACACTTCCTGTTCCTCCAACCCCCCCGCACACCTTTCCGCGCTGGGCTTCCTCCGTGCCTCTCCCGGCCTCGGGTGCTGGCGCACGACCGGGGCCACTGTCCTATTCCTGGATTTCTTTTCTTTTTGCTGGTTGTGGGGTTTGAACTCTGGGTCTGGGCGCTGTCCCTCAGCTCTTCAGCTCAAGACTAGCGCTCTACCACTGGAGCCACAGTGCTACTTCCAGCTTTTTCTGCTTATGTGGTGCTGAGGAATCCAACCCAGGCCCTCATGCATGCGAGGCAAGCGCTCTACCACTGAGCCACCTTCCCAGCCCTGTTCCTGGATTTCTGTTAGCATGGAGTTAACTCCATGGAGCAGAGCCAGTGGCCAGGATGGAGCTGGGATGGGGAGGGAGGGGCTGTGCCCCCTCTTCCTGCTTGTCTCTGCACCCCGGGAAGCACCAGTGGGGACTGAAGCCCCTGAGGGCCTACTTTTTAGCATCTTCACCAGATTCTGCACCCCAAGCTGGGAGGGCCAGGAGTCCTTGTGCCCAGGTTAGGTAGGGGAGACGGGTAGGAGAGCAACCTCCCGTAGTCACCGGCTCACCGCAAGCAGGGGCCAGGGGTGATGAGTGTGGTTGGGCCCTCTGTGCCCAACCCGGAGAGTGGTTAACCTCGGGGTCCTCTGGGGAAGGAGGGGGGCCCTGGATTGTCTCCATACCCTAAAGGTCTGGCTCTGGCCTGGAAGTTCTTCCTAGCGCTGACCCCTGTGCTCCCAGGTGCTTTCCGGCTGCTCTCCTCTAGTGCCTAGAGCTGCAAGTGACGGCTGGGCCTCTCACCCCTTCTCCTGACACCCCTGCAGTGCCAGCCCAGCCCCCCCAGAAACCCCACGCACTGTCTTCCTCCATCCCGGAGACCCCAGCCCAGCACTGGCTCTGGCTATAGTAGGTGCTCAGTAAAGATGGGTGGATGGCCCCCCACAGCACCCAGGCCAACCCAGTCACCTCTCCCCTGAGGGGGGCTGAGCCTCTCCCCACACTGTTGGGGGGCTCAGTCACCCACCAGCCCAGCCTCGAGGATGTCAGGGTGTTCACAGAACCCCGTCTTCTGGGCCGCGTGTCTCTCTGTGCCAAGCGTAATTTGCCAGCTGCTCTCTGCCCGCAGAAGGCAGGAAAGAACGGGGAAGGGGGGAAGGGGAAGGGGGAGGGGGGAGGCCGCGCTGCCATTATCTGTCATTCCAGAGCCCCTTGTCGGGGGGGGGGGCCTCCTGTGTGTATCTGTGCACACAGGCCCCAGAGCTGTGTGACCCGAGCAAGCTGCTCCACCTCTCTGAGCTCACTCTGCGCCACTATGCAGACCAGGTCTGCGAGGGGGGCGGGCAGCCAGCATACAGCGCACCTGCCCCTCAGGGGGGTGTGGGGGGTGCACCTCCCCAACATGGCTGTGGGGGCCGGGCCAGCTGGCCCTGCATCCACCCACAGCTTCTGTTGCAAGATGTGGGGGGGTATTTGGTTACAATACAAATAATAAAGCAATCAGGACAGCTGGGGTGATGGAAAACAAGTCCCCCAAACCCACCTGCCAGCCCCCCACCCTTTCCCCCACACTCTGCCTGCAGCCTCTCCCCTCACAGAGCCCTGGGCTGCCCCTGTGCCACCCCAAGGCCCTCTCTGTCTCCAGGACACCGAGGGCCCTGCACGGTGGGAGGCGTGGCCCTGGATGCAGGGCTGCGGTCTGAGGCGGGGTGGGCGTGGCCTTGGTGAGGGCTGCAGGTGGCTGGGGAAAGGGCCAGGTCAGAGGCTGGGGCACCTGAGGGCCAGGTAGGAGCTGCTTCCATCCTGACTGCAGTGGGGGGCCACAGAGGGGCCGCAAAGGGTGAGTAGCCCACCCAGCTCCATCCCAAAGCCTGAGCCACGAGGCGGACCATGAGGCCCGAGCCAGGGCCCTGGCCACCGTCCTCGCCCAGGGCTGGGGAGCTAAATGAGAGGTGATGAGGGTTGGGCACTGAAGAGGAGCCGCCACTGTGAGGTAAGGGAGAGGAGGGGAGGGAGGGAGGGAGGGAGGGAGCAGGGCACAGGGGCTCAAGCTTGTAATCCTAGCTACTCAGGAGACACGGATCTGAGGATCCAGCCCAGGGGAAGAGTTTCATGGGACACAAACTCAACAGAAACGGGTGGCGACGGGGTCACTGCTGTGTCCCAGCTGTGGTGAGAAGTATAGGCAGGGATACACAGGATTGCAGGCCCAGCCGGTTCAGGGGAGGAGAAACAAAAAGATCTTATTGCAAAAATAAAGCAAAAAGGATGGGACTCCAAGGGTAGAGCGACTGCCTAGCACGTTTGAAGTCCTGAGTTCCAATGCTAGTATGGGGGGAGGGGGAGGAGGAGGAGGAGGAAGGGGAGGGGAGAAAGACC